CAGTCTGTCTTTCTTGTTTCTAAAACTGCAGATCCTCAGCCAAACTTCTACCGAAATGCAATAGCTGTTTATCACATGCTATTTGATGATGATTAACATTTATTGTGCCTAAGTCACGGAACCAAGAACAATGTTGGAAAAAGGAATTTTAGTATATAGAAAGTCTTCTATTTATGAGAGGTTTTAAGATAGTTAGCTGAGCATGGCTGCTCACACCATGTAATCCCAGTGCTTTGGGAGGCTGAAGCAGGAGGATCACTTGAGGCCAGGATTTCAAGACGAGTCTGGGCAATATAGTGAGACCCTATCACTCTAAAATTTTTTTTTTTTAAATGCCAGGCATGGTGGCTTGCATCTATAATCCCAGCTTCTTGGAGGTTGGGGCAGGTGGCATTGCTTGAGCCCAGGAAGTTGAACCTGGGTGAGGTGAAGTGAGACCCTGTTAAAAAAAGAAGGGGAAGGAGAAGAGTTATAACATCAAAAACATGGAGGGTGATTTATGATGTTCACTAAATAAACACTATTTGTATTGTCAGCACTGTGTCCATATGGTTCTGAGCTTTCAGCAAAGGTATTTGGCAGTACAAAGAGCCTATCCATTTCCCTGAAAGAGAAACACTGCAAAGATCAGCGTCTTTGCCTCAGGATTAATTTGTGCACCTTCTGTGGTGATTAAAAGCTAAAGTTTTCACTAGTGTCTTTAGCTGAATTTTGCTTGCTTACAAAATCCTTATATCTTATATTTACAAATATTTTGCTATTTTTTTCATGAAAGGTTAATATTTTTGCAAACCTTTGATTGAGATTGTTTGTGAATAGCTGTGGGCAACACCTGTAGCAGAAGATGGGGGCTAATCTTTGGGGGCGGGGGCGTGGACTGTAATAATGGAAGTAAGACAGGCTTAGAACAGGGCCTGGTTCAGTCCTTTCCATTCCGAAAGGTCAACATAAGGAAGTTTGTTTGCCATTCAGGTCCATGGCATGCGTGAGGACATATTGTTGAAGTTTAAGATCAATTGAACATCATGTATAATAATACTAATGTTGAAATTACATGCCAGTAGATATTCTTTGCATGAGGGATACCATTCTTTTTAAACTCTCTCAAGATAGAATAAGGGGAGGGGAGTCTTGCTATTTATTCATCCATTCTTTTGACATTTACTGATCATCTTTTACATGTCAGGCACTGGTGTGGGTGTTTGGGATCCAGAGATGAATAATGTATACTCCTGGCCTTCAAGGAACTTACAGTGCCAAGGGGAAGACAGAGAAAAATAAAGACAGGATGATAAGACCATTGATAAGTAAAAAGAATGATAAACATATGAATGGAACATAAATAAGAAACACTTTACCTAGTAAGACAGGGTGGAGTGGGCAGAACAGGCTTTCTGGACTAGGTAATGTTTGAATTGAATTTTGTAGACTCAGTTGAGATTCACCACAGGAAAAAGGGATGAAGATGGAATAGCCTTAGCAAAGTCGTGGAAGGAAGAAACAGTATCGCAGGTAGAAAACTCGAGCAGTGTGATGAGGAAGAATTCTGCCTGTTTGTTTTTGCTTGTTTTCATTTTAAGTCATATGCTGCTAGGGCTGGATGATGATCAAACCTCTGCGGCTTCTGCTAAGTAGAGGGAGCACAGAGCTCTGTAACCCTAAAGGTGATATGTGCCTGAAGGAATTCAAAATCACAGTACAGTCACTGACCAGGGCGAAATGTTCCACAGGCTATAGTCAAAGTGGAATTTCAGGAAAGTCCACGCTATCATATTCTACATATACATTATATGTAAAAAAAAAAAAAATTAGCAGACCCAGCCATTTATTTATTTAATATAAAGCTGGGAAATTGCTGTAAAGGTGGCATTCCTACTACACTTCTGGCTGTAATGCCCTGTGTTAAATTTGAGCCATGCTTCTCAAGATGACTCTGTAAGAGCACGTTTTCACTAAATAAACAAGATACTGGATTTTTTCCCTCCTTCTGTCTCTACCTATCTCTTTAAGGAGTTGAGGTCTTACTCTTATAGACACAGCATAGGTTAACATGGTGAGTTTGGGTATGAATTTAACAATTTTAAAATCCATAATGTTTCAGCCTAAAACCCTAAATACGTTGAGGTGATCACTCAATAAAAAACTACTACAGCCTCTGCTAGGGGACACTAACAGTTGCTCAAGTCCAATTAAATTGACTCCTTCAGAGCTGAACGGGGAGTACACTTGCGACAGAAATACTCCAAAGTAGGCTAAGAAAGAAAGTTTTCTATTCTCTGAATTAAACATACTTTTAAGTTAGGCTTCTTTGTATTCCTTTCTGCTCAGAAAAAAAAAAAAAAAAAAAAAAAAAAAAAAAAAAAAAAAAAAAAAAACAAGAAAAAAGGAAAGAAAGCAAAACAGAACAGAATATTTTTTTAAAAAAACTTAGTCTCTAAGAACATTTTAAAAGTCATTTTTCACACACACAAAAAATGTATAGTCCTGGAATGAATGTTTGGCTGTCTTGAAAAGAATGGAAAATTTCCAGTGGCTGCTCACATATGTTCCTCAAATAGATGCTCAACTCTGAAAAATGAGCAGGGTGCCTGGGGATTGTGCGGAAGATTTGTGTATCTGGGATCCAACACTGGTCAAGGATCACTACATATCTATGTGAAAAGCTGGGTTCTCCTTTTCTTTTTCAAAGGGAAGATTATGCTTCGAGATAACTTAGCCTATAAGGATGAACACACCAGGACACTGTCAACTGACTTCTGGAGAATGGTGTCCTTTCCTTTAGACCTTCAGAGCGGTTTTAGTGTAACTTCCCGTAGGATCTGGATGAATCTGCCTTCCCAAATGCATTTAAATCAATGGCAGCTGTAACAGGAACAGCTATAAAAGAACGCAAGTTCAAGTCAATATTTGGAGTTATTTTTTAAATGCATGCATATTGAAAGTGACATTGAGTATGAATGTTCTCATAACTTTTGGGACTTTATTTTCAAGTTTAGTCATCAGATTTATTCTTAAATTGATTTTGAACTGATTTAATTCAAGCAGCTAGAATTATTTTGCCAATATTAATGTAATCAATTTGCAAACTCTCTGAGGTGGGTAGATGGCAACTCTAGTCGGCTTCCAGGAGAGGCTGAAATAGAATCTTGGTTCACATTGAAGTTTCAGTCAATTCAGGCAGCTATGAAACAGTTTACTATGTATGCAAATAATTCACATATATATTTTTCCAATTGTATGTAGAAAAGAATTTTGCAGAAAACCAATTTTAAATACAAGTGAATGTCTCCAGCAAAGCAGTCGCTAAATTGCCTATTTCTGCTCTTATTTTCACCAGTCTATTCATCCATGCTTCTAGGCTAGAAACCTTGACTTATTTTTTAATCTCTCCACTTGTAACCCTTAGACCTACTTAGTCATAAAGTCTAACAAGTGTGTAATTTTTAAGAAGTTCATTTGTATACTGAACTAAGACCTTTTCCTTTCTGTCTTGGATTGCAACTAGTAGACATGTTGACTGCTTTGCCTTCTTTTTGACTACTTAAGGCATTTCACATATATTTCCAGTCATATTCCTTAAACTTACTTTGGTAATGTCATTCTTCCATTCAAAAATATTGCATGTCTCTTTCTCGGCTTTCCTTATGGAAAAAAAGTTAATTCTTTAGCCTAGAATTCAAGACCTGCTGAATACACTGTGCACTCTGTTATTACTTCCAAGTTTGTGTCATTCCCAGCACTTACATATAGTCAGTGTGTAGTAAATGGTTTCTATTGCTGTTTTTACACCTTTTAATTTTTATATAGATCCCTTCAGCCACTAAATTACTCCCTCATTCGCAGACAAAAGTATACTCTTCGGAATCTAGCTCAAACATTGTTTTCTGCAGATTCTCTCATCTCTTCTGTATGAAGTAAAACATAGTCACTCATATTTTGTATTGGTCACACATTGTTAAGCACTTACTATGCTCCAAATAATCAAAGATGAATATGACACCCTGCTTTAAGGTACTTACTTTGGGGCATTCATCAAATAAACAGCTGGGGCATGGTGTGATTAACACTACGATAGAAGACTATGTGGATTCCAGCAAGGTGCCATGGACAGTGTTGGAAACCCAGTGGACAAGGGGAAGGGGCAAGGAAAGTTCTGTCACGTCAGTGAATCTTGAGTGTCTTAAAAATAGTGGGAAGACAGGCCAGGTGCGGTGGCTCGTGCCTGTAATCCCAACACTTGGGGAGCCTGAGGTGGGTGGATCTCAAGGTCAGGCATTTGGGACCAGCCTGGCCAACATAGGGAGCCCCCATCTCTACTAAAAATACAAAAAAAAAAAAAAAAATGAGCCAGGCACGGTGGCAGGTGCCTGTAGTCTCAGCTACTCTGGAGGCTGAGGCAGGAGAATCACTTGAACTCTGGAGGCAGAGGTTGCAGTGAGCTGAGATTGCACCACTGCACTCCAGCCTGAGTGACAGTGCGAGAATCTGACTACAAAAAAAAATGTGGGAAGACATTTCAGTCAGGGAGAATACTGTTATGGAGACAGAGGTTTGAAATACATTGGAGGGCTCAAAAACCAAAAACAAATTTGGTTTGGCTTGAAAGGAGATACGAGAATGAGGTGCGTACAACCAGAAATGAGACAGGAACCATACTCTAAAGTACTGGTTATGCCATACTAAGATTTGTACCTGAAATATGGTAGATGCTTAATAAATACTTATTTAGTAAACAAATCACTTTCTACTAGTACAGCAAATTTTATTTATAATTAAACATTTTATATTAATTTGCTAGTGTATACATTGGTTTATTGGAAGACAGCTAAGTATTCACACTCTGTGTTTTCAGCACTCCATCTAGGGTAGATCCTTAACTTGCCATTGTAACAATTAGAAAAGTTCCTTCTAATATGAACACCAGAGGTGGACAATTGTTAAACTTAATATATATAAACAAAATGTTCACATCTATTTGTGGTTTTTTTTTCTCTTTCTAGGTTCAGACATTGTTCAATGGTTGATAAAGAACTTAACTATAGAAGATCCAGGTAAATCAATCATTTTCCCATTGCAAGAACTTTTTTCTTTGTGGTTTTAAAAAATATGTTTCCTCAGGGATGTTTTAATCTGCCATGCAAGCAAACCTCCTGAGAAATTATAATTCAGTTTGAACTGTTCTTTTAACATTTATATAAATTTTATTGTAGTCAAAACATATTTAACAAAAAGTTAGCATATTTCTACAGTTTTTCACATCCTTAATTCCACATGACGTATTATTTAATTCAGGTCACTGGTGATCATTTAGACTGGATCAGCTGTGTACATGTCCATAAAATGATCGTAAATATAATTTATGGCACGTGTTTATGAATTAGTGAATTTTCCCTTTATCAGACACATACATCTCATTAACGTACTTTTGCCTTAACTACATCTTAAATGCAGTTTGAAATCTATACTTTATTTGTAATCCTGATTTTTTATCATGCCTACATGATGTGTATTTGAGAGAGAGAGAGAGAGAGAGAGAGAGAGAGAGAGAAATGCTCTGTTTAAGTCATAAAGTTGTTCACCATTATGTCTATTCTGCAGCAGAAAACTAATTTCCAAAGTAAGGGGACAATTTCTATGAGCTCACACTCTGCATTGCCTAGTACAAGTTCTTACATATGCAAACCATTTAATGGCTTTTAAAAGATATCATGTGGGCTGGGCGCGGTGACTCAAGCCTGTAATCCCAGCACTTTGGGAGGCCGAGGCGGGTGGATCACGAGGTCAGGAGATCGAGACCATCTTGGTCAACATGGTGAAACCCCGTCTCTACTAAAAATACAAAAAATTAGCTGGGCACGGTGGCGCGTGCCTGTAGTACCAGCTACTCAGGAGGCTGAGGCAGGAGAATTGCCTGAACCCAGGAGGCAGAGGTTGCGGTGAGCTGAGATTGCGCCATTGCACTCCAGCCTGGGTAACAAGAGTGAAACTCCTTCTTAAAAAAATAAATAAAAATAAAATAAAATAAAATATCATGTAAAAATGTTCATACATGGCCAATAATTCGCATCACTGAAGGAAAATAAGATGCTGGGAGGCTACAGCAGGAGAATCGCTTGAACCCAGAGGCAGAGGTTGCAGTGAGCCGAGACCGTGCCACTGCACTCCAGCGTGGGCAACAGAGAGGCTCTACCTCAAAGAAGATGCATATTGTTCAGGGAAGATTCTGAGAAAACAAAAAATAATAGCTGTGAAAAACTGGGATTATAGTGAGTGCAGAAAGTCAGTGACGTGCTAACGTATGTAACACACCCTTCCATCAGCAGGAGGAATTTTGCATGGCTTTGGCTCCTGCCTCTGTTGATTAGCACCTTGAAATGGTTTAGAATTAGCAGTACATGAAGATGCAAGGTTTTACTTTTTTCTAGTTTTAAGCTGACTTTATAAAGCTATGCCATCAAAAGATGCAGCTCAGATTCTTTCCATAAAGGCCTATATACACCCCCAGCTCATATGCTACATGACCTTTTAAAATACTCGTTGTAGCAGGTTAAATGCTACTAAAACAATTAAGTAAAGATGAAACAACTATTGCCAGCATCATATTATCACCAGGTGAGAAGGGAAGATAATTAATAGGAAACAAAGCTACAGTCTTACCAAGTTCACATTTTAGTCTCACCTCCATGGCTTGCCTGTTTTTTTAAAACTATGGAACCAGACAAATAATCACAGTCCTAAAAAGTAGATTGACACAGCCGTAGCTAATCAGGAAACTACTGATTGGCAAAGACTATTAAGGATCAGAGGGTGAAGTAGATTTAAAAGAGTATTTTTTTTGTAAGGTCAAGACCAAAGGTGTACTTCACTAAAAATCTGAGAAACCAGAAAAATATTCACAGATAACATAAGCTAGTAAGAAACAATCATTGTTTATAATTAACATGTGTGATCTCATTTTAGCTATAATGTATATGGAAAACTGATTTTATTTGCTTACTCAATACTTTCAGGAAGTTTTAAAATTCATTAGAAGGTGTTTTAAAGAGATAAAGTCAAATGTGTCCAGGAAGGAACATACATGTATCTTTAGTCATATTTATGACAGGCTGAAAAATTAGTTTCTGATTTGTTGGTTCACCCCAGACAAAATACAAGGCTCTGTACTGGTTTCAAGAAGAGTTGAGAAGCATTAATGATTGTTCTGAATATATAACAGATTGTGCCCCTGGAAAATGAATCAATCTGGTGGCTATTCTGATCCCAATTTGATGTGGTTAACAATGTAGCTGATATTATGAAAATTACTTTAATGGCTGCATATACGAAATTAATTATACCTTTTGAAACTGCTCATGAAGGGAGACCAAGTACTTACAATGCTAAGTCTAGTTTTAACTCTATCAGCAACTCCCTGAAGATGCTTAAAATAAGAAAGAAACCCATGCCTAGTTTCTGTCCTGTGTGCTATCTGGTAGCCACGTGGTCATTTGAGGATCTCTAGGGATTGTTTGATGTTCTAGAAGTCAGTAATTTGCTGAAAGAGGGTTTTGTGGCAAGATGGAAGAAGAGACTAATCCTGGGTATGGGAGCAGGTTCTGATGGTGCATTTAGAGACAAGAGGAGAAGACTCAGTGATCTTTAGGACCATATTTAAGACCAATGAGTCTATATTATTTACACACTTAGTGTTCAATATTTTATCAATGAGCACTTAATAACTCTCATTTCTGTTACAGCATTTCAGGGCACATTTGGCTGGATATTTTACCAGAGATTTTGGTACCATTAGACATTCAGTCATATTCTGTTACTACTTTAGAATACAGATGGATTTAAACTTTTAGTTAAAATTTAGGATTTTTTTTAGTTTACATATATGTATAATACACACATATGAAATTAGTCTAAAATGTTTCTCTTCTTTGTGAGTATACTTTTATAAAACATATCTTTCTAGGAAAATTCCATATCTTCTTTCATACTTTCATTCATCTAACAAATATTTATTGAATTCTTACCATGGGCCAGGCACTGGGAATACAGGAGGAATATTCCCTCTTTGAACAAATTGACTGTCTTTGGCTTCCAGAATATCACACTCACACTTTTCCTTTTTTTCACTGGCCATTTAGTTTGGTCTCAGTCTTCTGTGGTGGCTTTTCACTCTCCAGTTAATCTGTAAATGTTGGAAGGTTCAGGTTTCTATTCTAGGTTCCTTTCCCCTCTGCATTTACACATTATTGCTAAGTGACAGGTGTTGAGAACTCTCCAGTTCATAACTTTTGTGCTGACCTCTCCACAGTGCTCCACACTCACTTGTCCAATGCCTAGTGGCCTCTTCCCTGAAAGGTCAAACTCAACACAACCAAAATGGAATCCTGCTTTTTCCACTTCTCCTACTCCTTATTGTAATCTCAACCTCAGTTACCCAGTTGAGTCTTCTAATCAAGAATATACTCTCTCTTTTCAAGTCTTCAGTTTTAATATGTGGTGTTTCAGGAGTGCTTTAAGGTTTTTAAAATACAGACTTTGCACATTTCTTACTATGCTTATTTCTGGTTATTGTATTATATGTTATTCCTATATATGGGTCTTTTCTTCCTACATACCCTAACTTGTTATTGTTTACATATATTAAAATGATGGTTTTATATATGCTAATTGAAAATGTAATTTCTTTGCTACATTATCTTTTTTTAAAAAGAAATCTTAACTAACTTATGGGAAAACTACAATACTCTTCCCAGCAGTTTATTAGGATTATATGTAGTTGTTCAAAGTCTTTAATTATTTGGCAGTACGTTTTATTGCCTATGCATATGTTGATATCTTACCTAGATATAAAGTAGATGAGATACAGTTTCTTCTTTAAAATCCTGTAGTTACTGACTTACTACATTCATGCCTTCAAAATTCTGTTAAAATATGATAGATATTTATATCATTCTTATGTCACTGCATACACATACGTATTTATTTATATATATACATATAAGTGTACACACATGCACATATAGTAGTCTCCCCTTATTCGAGGAAAATGTACTCCAAGTCTCCCAGTGAATATCTGAAACTATAGATAGTACCAAATGCTATATAGGCTGTTTTTCACCATAAATACATACCTTTAATAAAGTTTAATTTATAAATTAGGCACAGTAAGAACTTAACAACAATACTAATAAAACAGTTATAACAGCATACTACGATAAAAGTTATGTGAATGTGGCCTCTTGCTCTCTCTCGAAATACTGTAATCTCTTCAAATCAAGGTTGACAGGAGGTGAAATTGCAGAAAGTGAAACGCAGAGAAGGGAGGACCACTATATATACACATGCTGTTTCTTAAACTGATTTTTTATCCCGCTTAGACACCTGTAATGCCGTCTCTTTCCTTGAAATTGAAACTATAAATGGGCCATTCCATTTCATTGCTTATTTTGTGATGTTTTTACAAATTTGGTAAATTATTTAAGTCTGTTGATTCAGGTTTTTCCTAGGTGATGATAACTTCTTCCTGCTTTGTTATTTAAGCTCATTTTCTTCATTTATAAAATGCATATTGCAATAATGTCTACTATTTAGTGCTTTTCTGAGGATTTAACATGTATTATATACAGTATAAAGCAGCTATACTACATCTCTTATGTAATAGTTTAGAAAATATTGATTGGCAATTGTAGATATTTTTGGATTTTTATAATAATTGTAACTATTTGCCTGCTTATTTGTTCTCATTTTCTGTTTTGAAACAACATTGACTGATATACTTCACTCTATTCTACATCCCAATTATTATTTTCTCTAATTTAAAATTTATTTTTTAGCTTTCTCTCTCTTCTCCATTCCAGATTGTTTTTAAGTTTCTACATCATAGCATGAATTCTCATTCTTCACTGCCAATTCAGACCCTTCCTGATGAGAATATATAGAGAATATATCTATTATTGCATGTTTCACCTTTCATCATTTTTTTATTTTTTCTAGTTCTCTATTTCTACCTTCCTTTAGAAGGTTCTTTTCTAATCATAGAATATAAACATAAAATTCT